AGACCAACTTCATCTGGAACACCAATATTGATCTCTCTATCAAACCTGCCAAACCTCCTCAAAGCAGGATCTATGCTATTCAAACGATTAGTAGCCCCAATAACAACAACATGGGACCGAGGTTTCAGTCCATCCATTAAAGTCAGAAGCTGTGAAACGATCCTCCTCTCAACTTCACCATGGGTCTTCTCCCTCTTTTGAGCAATTGAATCGATCTCATCAATAAAGATGATGGATGGAGCATTTTTCTCAGCTTCTTCAAAAGCCTTCCTGAGGTTGCTTTCACTGTCTCCAGCCAATTTGGACATAATCTCAGGGCCATTAACACAGAAGAAGGATGCACCAGTTTCATTGGCTACAGCTCTAGCAATTAATGTCTTTCCAGAACCAGGGGGTCCATAAAGTAAAATTCCTGTGGGTGGTTTAACACCAATTGATTTGAAAAGTTGAGGATGCCTTAGTGGCAACTCAACTAACTCACGGATCTGAGCCATCTGCTTCCTAACACCACCCACATCATCATAACCAACTTCATCCAATCTATCCTCATCCTCCCTTCTAAGAGGTTCACCCTCACAAAAAATTTGAGTGTCTGGTGCAACCACACAATACTCTCCTGGATCAGTCTCGAGAACCTTGAATTCCACACTTCTCATGCCTCCTCTGACAAGGAACAGATCACCTTTCCTTACAGGGCGATAAGCCTCCGAGAAATAAGCTGAAAAACCAAGGCCAGCAGCAGCCACAAAAAAGTTAGATACCATAATGTTGAGATGATCCTCTCAGTAAGAAAAGCAAACATCTAAAAGACCACTAAGATCAGTCAAGCTCTTTCATTTTTTCTAAACAACGTCAAAATGAGCACTGAAGTCAATAAAGCTTTCCATTTTCACAACATAGAACTTCTCAAAACGTAAGAGAGGACAGAAAGCATCAGAGAGTTGGCAACCAAACCAACATGAAAGAAAGAAACTTGGAAAAATATACACAAACACTTAAACGAGACATTTCAGAAACCCACGTCTCAGGTATGCATCAAATAGATTCCCAGTGATCCCTTCAATGGTATCATCTATTGGGAGAATGTGTACACGCTTCCCATACTTAGCATCTGGGCACTGCTGCACAGAGACAACATCTCCAAGTCGAACTCTCAAATTCGACCTCACAACTTTGTTCATCCTGATCATTGGCTGTTCACATGTTTCATCAGCAGTAACAATGCAGAGTGTATCCTTCTTTTTCTTTCCCTGGAGAAAAAAAAAAAAAAAAACACCCACTGAAACAAAACCCCAGCTTGAAATTGCGAGTCTAATCATTAATCGTAAACAGGGTAACAACATCACAACTCAAATACAAATAATTATCTAGGTATGCACCTTGATGAGCACAGTATCGCCACGATAGAGCTGCAGGTTCTCCATGGTTTCAGGGTGCATGGCAACAACGGAGTTGTCGTCGTTGACTGCGTCTTCCACAA